AGGATGATTCTCGTATTGTTATTTTTCGTCACTACCTCCACGTTACGCGCCTGCTGCTTTCTTTGGATGTAGTAGCCGTTTTTTAGACTCCCTCTCCGGAATCAAACCCTTATTTCCCGTTACCCGTTACAACCATGATATTGATATTAACTACTATCATAACATGAAACTAAAAAAGTGAAAAATAAATACAGTTTAAAAAAACTAAAAAACACGCTTTTAAAGTACATCGAACTAAAAAGTTAAAAATAATTTTTAAAATTAACTTAAAACAATAATGAACGAAAAATACTAGTATTATTGTGAAAAAAAGCGTCAGGCGCTCAATATACAAAAAATATGGCATAAAGCACCCACGGTTTTTTTCACAATAATACTAGTATTTTTCGTTCATTATTGTTTTAAGTTAATTTTAAAAATTATTTTTAACTTTTTAGTTCGATGTACTTTAAAAGCGTGTTTTTTAGTTTTTTTAAACTGTATTTATTCATAATTAGAAATCACTGCGTTGACACTTAATAAGTTCTATTTAAATTAATTCATAAGATGCTTACATATTTATGTGTATACATATCAATGAAACAATTCATTATGGAATTTTAAATGCATTCGATTAGAAGAACATATTTCTATTTCTCATTTAATTTAAGGTAAGCATTTAATTTTAGTCATATTTCAAGTACTGAATTAATAATAATCTTTTATTTTAATAAATAATTTATTTTATTTCTAGGATATGTATATAAAGTATTATGAAATCTTAACAGCCTTAGATCATAAAAATACATCAGATTTTTAAGTGTTAGTGTGATGGAGACTATTAATTATTTTATATTGGTATTTATTGCCCCATGTTATTATTAACCAGAAAAAGCTTAAGTTCAGCTGTCTTATTTTGAAAATAGATTATTCCAACATGTTCAATACATATTTGTTGCTAATAAAAATTAAAAATTACCTATCAAAGACTTAGCACGGTTTAACCTCAATTATTATTTTTAAATGAAACTGGGGTACATCAGAACTAATTAACATTTGGATATGAAATTTATAATATTAATAAATGATTTATTAATTATTAATAAAGTATCTATGAAAATCTAGATAATTATTAATACTTATACACCAAAAAAAGAATTATACATCAATTTACTTCTCTTTTTATTTTTTCAGATTTTAATAAGATCAATAAAAAAAAATGTTCAGCAGAAATTAGTTGTTATAAAGCAATAATTAAAAATCTTTTGGTTTAAAAAAAAATTGAAGTATAGATATATTAATTAGTATTTAAAAAAATTACTGTATTTTTTTCTATTAATTATTTTATTAATATATATAATATTTCTAATTTAAATGAAAAAGACATAAATTAATTTTTATTGATTGGGTCTGAACCTAATTTTTTGGTAGAATTAAGTATACAAAATCACTACCTTTTCTTTTTATTAAAAAACTGATCAAATGTTAATCTTAGATCAGGGCCGTATACATGGTACAGTAATAGGATCTGAGCTACTAGTATGTCAATTATTTTAAGAGAAGTGTTAATTTTGAAATTTCCTTAATAAAAGAAAGAAAATTATTAATTTCAAATATTCTATCAAAAATATAAAAATTGTATTTTTGTGTTGTTTACACAAGGGATCCTAATAATCCAATGGTATTTTAGTTCTTGATTACTGAAAATTAAATAAATGGCCTATAAAAAAATGTATTGTATACAAATGTTACAATCAAATTAATTTCATAACAATAGTGTAAATTGGGAAAACTATTATTTTGGATTTATCATTTACTATCAAATAAATATAATTATCAATATTTACAAAAAGGCATATGGTAATTTTCTAGTAGCTCAATTAAATTTTAAAAATACGGCTCTGGTTTGAATTCTACTCGCTGAAGGTTAATGTCAGAAGTGGTGGTACTTCCAGTATAATGTAATAACTTAATCCGTTTCTTGACTTAAAAATCTTGAGGGCATAGTTTTGTTGTTCACTATAGAGGACAGTATTGTCATCTTGTGGCGTTCTTAAGTGATGAGAGTTCATTGAATGATTAATAAGTAAGGAGACATGGAGGAAATTAAAATGAAAATTTATATAATTTATATATAACTTTTTAGTTCGATGTACTTTAAAAGCGTGTTTTTTAGTTTTTTTAAACTGTATTTTTAGAATTAACGTATATGCTCGTTGTTATCTGTTGCTATGATAGTTAAATTACTATTACTATTATTTTCATTTCTATTTTCTACTGCGACCTTTAAAATAATATTTGTATTATGTTTCATTTTATTGTACTTAATTTGACAATTTTTTATACCTATGACTAGCGGTATTATACTTAAAGTCACATCACCAGCACCCACAAACCACCACTGGAGCTATAGTTTAAATGAAAACATCTTAAGTCTTAGTCATTTTAATGTTTTTTTATTAATTTATGAATTGCCACACCATTATATAAAATGCTTTTCTAAATTTTACCATACGTTTTTTAAAATTCTTATCATTAACCAAAGGATGATACTATCATAACAAATTTTTTTCTTTTCAAATTTTGATAATGTTTCAAAAAACCTATCTTCTTTAAACTTACATTAAATTTAAGTCAATACAATGAACTTAAAGGTATTAATGGAAAAATTATCCGAAAATTCGATTCAAATATTAAAA